AAACCTAAGCGACTGAGAAATCGCCTTCAACAAAGAGAGAAGGAGAGGAGTCGCGAGGAGAAAAAAAATTAGAATTAGGATTTTTAATTTTTTTTTCCTTATATCTAAAATAATTTTGGGTTTTTTAATTGGTTTCGGGTATAGATCTGGATTCTTGGTTGGGTCGCATAATTTCTCAGATTCATTAAGGGTGAATTTGTAATTGCTTACGTTTTTATTTAAAAAAAAATCAGAAAAGAGACTTAAGAGATTTGTAGTTTTTTTTTTGGGTTTTTAAAGATTTGGGCTCGTTTCTTTTTGTGTTTTAGCACCCAAGTATTTTGTTTTATAAATTCTTCACAGTGTATTTTTTTGTTAAAGAAAAAATATTCCGCAGCCGACTACAGAAAAATGTTTATAATAGTAGCTTGATTTTATGACTAACTTATAGTCGTTGAATATTGTTAGATATTGGCTTATTATTGCCGATTGAATGATGTGATCAATACGCATATATATTGTCGAACGGAATAACGGATCATATATATCTAACACGTTAGGTATATTTGAATTTTATATACGGTTTTATGTTTTCTTAAATCCCATATGATTCTTTAAATTGATATAAAGTCAAATATATTATACAAAAACTTACCGAAATGATTACGTATTAATATTTTTTTAAAATATGTGATTACGGGGGATGTAATTTTCCATGCACCTCTTGGGATAGACGGAATCGAATTTAGATAGATCGTAGTTATCTAAAACAAATATATTTGATCTCTACGATCAGCGGATTAGGTTGTAAGTTGACCTTTAATCGTGTTTATCCATTTACCTATAGTCACGGTGACCACCCATGAACGGCTCTGAGTATTGGCATGCCTAATGCCCAAATTTTTTTTGATGTCCTATTATAAACACACAAAAAAAAAATTATTTATGAATTCATAACCTAGGATTCAAACTCATCATCTGTTATCTGCTTTTTCCGTGTTTTACCACTATGCTACAAGGGATTTTTAAGAAATTGATGCCCATAAAATAAATAAGCTATATTGATGTCTAACGCCGGATGCGTCACCAGCGTTAGGTCAGGCCCTGCCCATGAACATGAACTAAGAAGATGATATACATTACGTCAGTTTATATTCCGATTTCTTTCACTATATAATTAACACAAGGTTCAGAGCTATACTGCAAAACGCAGCGCCGCTAGAGAGAGAAAGATAAGCGATCTTGGTTTTGGCTTGGTTAGCTCCACCGTCGGTTGGGCTCGTCTCGTAGTTCTCGATTTAATGTTTCTGTGTAGGTTTTATCGTTAGTTTGGTCGTGTTTGGGTGGGGAGACTCCGAGATCTAGCTTGGTGAAGAAGGGGTTCGACCGGTCCCTTGTCTTGGTGTTGATTCTGGTTTTCGCTAAGCAATAGGGATCGATTTGATTTTGGTATTCGCGTGTAAAGGTCCCTGGGTTTGGGTCTTGGATCTGAGTTTTCGAATTTGTTCGATAAAGTGTGGTCCTTATGCTCTATGCTTGGTTGTCTTTGCTAGAGGTGGATCTTGTGGCTTTCTCACCGTGGTAAAGTGTTGGTGGTCCTCTTTGTTGAATCTCTTTGCTGATGTCAAGGTTCCCTTCCTTGAGCTTGTAACGATTCGGTTTGTTTGTATCTTTGGAGTGGCGGTGTGGATGTTAGTGCTTCTGCTATGGGCTATTTAGGTCAAGTTTCAAACTGTCCCGGTGTTTGCTGTTATCTTTTGAGCTTGGACGAGATCGGTTTCATTGGTTTCATCTCGTCTCTTGTTCTTTGGCGCATCAGATCCAAATTGTTCTATGGGATTGCTTGTTTGATCTACCTTGGTTCATTGTCTATAGCTTTGAGTTTGGGTTTCTTTTAGTGTTTTGCCCTGTTTGTCGATTTCATAGAATATAGCTTGGATTAGTTTCGAACTCCTTTAAGGCTTTTGGCTCTAGCGGACTAGGTCTTGTTGGCTTTGTGTATCAAAACCGCATCCCACCCTTGTATTCTTCTTCGAATTATAACGTATGAATGAATGATGTTGAGATG